TACAGAAGTGTGTAATATATTATTATGTAGATTATATTGATTCCATAATTAAGAAATGGACGTTATCAGATAAATAAATTTTTAAAAAGTATCAATCATTTTAATATCGAGACAGAAAATCAATTATAACCAATAATTTAAAAGAGACTGTAATATACCTACTTGAACTCAACACCCACTGTAACATACTAATTACACCAATTAGGTCACTACATGTATACAAGTATAACCAGACGTCAAATGGCGCCAGATTGACAAATAAGTAAAAACAATTATGCTACAACAATAATCAATGAAATCTGTAATGGGTGCGATAGCAATGAGAACAGAATATCTATAAATCATCTTCCACATATGAACTGTAATTATGATATCGGTACAACATCAGTTTGTTTACAAGTATACCAATCACACATCTCTTATTTACCTATTTGAGTCTGGCAAGACCATGAAGAAAGTCAAAATCAAGCCCATCAGAACGACAAAATCTGCTTAATCCACAAACTCTGAAGAGTTGATCACACGACCCACAGAGTAAACTTTCCGTATCGTGGACCACATCACAATTTGGCCTCCAATGGTTTCTTACCACGGGCCATATTTACCGGTGGTAATATGTGAATCTATCCGATGCGGCTAGTTGTTTGATAGATATATAATTGCTATTTTGCTCAATGATTGAAACATACCTTTCCAAAAAATAGTTTTTAAGTATTCTGAACCACAATTCAATAAAACTTTCTTATTTGCATATTTTGTAAATAACACTTGCCATTTACCCTCTGATGTAAAAAAACCTACGTAACCAAGTAAGTTTTAAGGCTTCAATAAAAGACATGATGTGTATCATTTTAAAATCCTCCTACTAATAGTTTTTAATAATTATATCCCGTTTGATTTTTTTCTACTTTACTTTTCCATAAGAAACTAAAAAGATCTGAATATATATTTTAATAAGATAGTCATCTGGATTAGATAAGGAGATCTAAAGATGAATACCTTGGGATATTAATAACGATATAACTATAGGTATTCTTCCTATTGGTGTTTATATTCTTCTACTCCAATTCTTAATTATTGACTTAAGTGTCACTAACCTTTTATCATAGTTAAATATAGGGATTTGATGTCAATCTACACGAGATTTGATACCTACTAGTACCATACATGTTTGAATACCCCATAGCAGGTTCCATTCTGGATAATAAATCTCATCACTGTACTTTTAATTGCCTACCATATAACTTATGTTTTACTTTTATTTATTCGAAGACCAGAAATGTTTGCAAATAGATTCAGCTCATTTATTGATTCTTTTAATGATTGTTTCGTTCCATCTAAACTAAGAGACTATCGTCTGCACATTGTGAGAGAAGTAGTGGATAGTTGTCTACATTTATTCCCTTAATATCATTATTATTTCTAAGTCTAATTGGAAGTATTTTTGAACACAAAATGAAAATATATGGAGCTATTGGATCACCTTGACGGCAACTCCTCTTAATTAAAAACAAGATATGACAGATTTCCACCTTGATTAATTGCAGACATAGACTTAGTACGTAATATTTTTATCCAACTTCTAATATCCTCACCAAAATTAAAATATCTAAATACATTATCAATCAACAACCAACTTTTAAGAAATTGCATTGGCTTATCACCTTTTGGTATACATGTAATAATTCCTTTTTTTTTTGAGTTATAAAGAAGTTTCCTTTATATATGCGTAATCAATAGATCTAACAACAGATTTACCTTGTTGTTTCCAAACACACTTAAACAAAATTCTACTGTAAATCCCTCCGACGCGGGGTTTTTATTATTTTTCTTATGTTTTAAAGTATGTAACGCTTCAGTAAAAGTTTCTATTTCCTCCTAAAGATAAAGATTCTACATAGTTTAATTTTAGAACATTACAATTAGACGGATATTGATTTTAATCCTCTTCGATATAACTATTACTTGCATACAATTGTTTATAGAATAATTTAACTTCATTTAAACTATCATCTTGTTTTTCTAAATAATATCACCATTTTCTTTTCCTAGCATTGGGATAATTTTGGAGGTAAAATGTCTATTTTTCAAAATTAGAATATAATTTGTTGGCTTCTCTCCCTCTTCCACTCATTTTGCCTTTGACCTAATAATGCTACTCCTCATTTAAGTTTGTCTTATTTTTTTCCAATTCCTTCTGTTGCACCTACTTCATCCAGTTTGACATTATCCATATTTTCTTAATTTTTCATAGATTTTTAAGGTCTCTTTTTCAAAATGAAAAAAACATAAGTTGTGTGGTATACACATGTCAAGATCTATGTCAATAATGATCCTTGTATAAATTATTTGTCGAAAACATAGCTGTTTTTGTAACTTTTGAATGCAGAATTTGAGTGGTGCAAAATTGCATTAAATATTATAATTCAGGAAAAAACGTACCTCTACATGCATTCCTGAAGTATTCGTGTATTCACTATTATAGAGAAAAATGTTAAAAATGCTTCAAATCTCAAAAAAGAGAGTTAAACTTTGGTCAAATTTGCGCCAATTTACGAAAAGACGTCCGAACGATGAGTTTTTTTCTTACCAAAACTCATCGGACCTACCCGGCAGTATCCCGTTAGCGTCCTCTAAGGATTTTATACGATTATCTTAAGGCTCCCGGTGGCATCGTACGGTCATTTTGGGATTTTGTACAAGTTTACATGCTCCCAGGTGTCGTGTGGACCGCCGCCGATGTCCGGAAGGGTGCCGTACGGGAATCGTAAGGTTGCCGCCCGATATCCTCAAACTGTGCGGTGTCCGTGAGATATTCGGCCGGAGGCAGCCCGATAACCGGACTGGTATCTGCCGATGCTTCCGGCGCCCGGACGGCAGGTATACGGGCATCTATATATACACGCAAAATAAAATGCGAAATATTGTACAGGCTACGTACATGTACGTATCCCGTCCGTCACACGGCCGCACGAACATCTTCCGGCTACCGTACGACAGCCCGGCCATCGTCAGATAGCTATATAGCCTTGCAGTATCCTTGCGATATTCTTACGGGCTTCCTACGGTATCCTTCAGATGCCCTTTCGATTTAATCTGGCAAATTGTCTGTGGGGGCCGTGCAGTACCCGTATCTAATATGACCCACTGCAAATCCCAGACATCGGAAAAAAGTCCCTGGCGCCCGGGACGCCGTGAAGCTGGCCGATTCCTACTTCCCGGCCGGCGGCCGGCGGCCGGCGCAAATGTGAATGAAGCATAAGCAGGAAGCAGCTAACGTTTTTTGTTTTTGCCTCACACTCCTACATTCCTATACAGTATATATATATTCTTATATGTTTTATGAACATTATGAATTTAATATGTTCCAATTTATGCACTATACACTTTTTATAGGTAGATTCACCTGCCTACCATACTACTAAATTGCACCAGATATGAACATGTTCACCAATAACTCATTATTATTATTACATTCAGCAAGTCCTATTGATTATTACAATTCTATCAACTCCAATTTTCGTTTTCATTTGAACTTGCCAAAGCTTGTTTTTTGTCATTCATTTGTATTGTAAAAAGAAATTTTGAAAATATAATGTCCCTATACATGTTTGTCGCTTTACACTGACCTGTTTCGGCTCCAACACAAATGCGAATCCTTTACCGAATATTTGAATCATCACACCGGAAACTGTCTTATAGGTTAGTGTCATAGGTTTTTCGTTCTTTCTCTCCATCTTTTAGCTGGGCAAACAGTTTCCCATCTATACTATATTAACGTTTTTACACAGTCAAGATTGAATATCGTTTTCAGTCTCTCTTGGTTTATCCTGGTCAGATCTTCAAACACACAATACCGTTGTCCTTGCAGGATCCTCCTAACTCTAAATACTTCTGTTTTTGACGTCTGTACGTGAACTTACATATAGCTGTTCAAGTCTTTTTCTGTTGATATGTGCCAAGCCTGTGCGCAATGTCAATGTCACTCTTCGTAACATTTAGCTTGGTCCCCAGGAACTACACCACTTTCTTCACGCAATCCTCCACTTCCATTACACATGAAGTACTCCCGCTGGTACTTGATTCCTTTTAAAACATGAAATTTCAGTCCTGATACCTTTTGTGATTATCAAATATGTTTAACACATCCTTATAAACTTAAAATGTAGATTGAAAGTTCACTCTCAAGATTTTCATGCATGGAAACTTGTAGTTGCATCAGAGCGATACACGACACGTCCGGCTCGGTCTCCGTCAGCCTTGACCTTTTCCCATTTTAAAGGTCTTTATAATTTTCGTAAAAGACGGAAAGGCGTGAGAATGAAATTAAAGTTTTAAAATGCTTTCAGATGCGCTTCAAAGGTAGTATGATTGCCCACTGCATGTTATTGTTTCATTGCCTATGACCCGCATCTTAAAAACCCCAGATCAATCGTCAATATACATTGATGTATCCATTTGTGATATTAGTAACCAAACCAAAACCAATTATCAGCATTGTTAAGGTTTTCGTCGCACCTAGCCAACGCATCCATGAAACTTGAACAGGTAAAATCCGCCGGTAAAATCAGGTAAAACAAAAGAATAGCAATACAGCTGTAGATGTTGATCCATTTATTATCTGTTTCATTCTTACTCATACAAACAAATCTCACTGAATTCTCTTTTATAGTATAGGTAAGATATTCCAAACATAGTAGAAGGGAGAAGGATAACGAACATTTTTGGAAAACAATCACACAAGATTTAAGATCCGAGAATTCGGAAACATTAATCAGTAAACACAAACAAATCAATATTCACGTGTTCAAAAACAATTTTCAAAAAGACAAAAAAGAGACGTGACTCTTAGATTACTCGCGTCTATCAGATGTGTGCGGTTTTTATGAACACTTTTAGACCATCGCTTTTCAATTGCGATAGGAATCAATTTCAGCAATGTACACTATGACTATTTAATAAAATTACCATATTTCTTATAATGAAACCATTTGTTTCAGGAACAATACTCGTGGTCAATTTACGAGAGCAGTCAGCAACGTAGACATGAACAGGTTTCCGATGATGTCCAACAACAACATCCTTCTCGTAATTGTTATTGCTGGAGTTGTACTGATCTTCATGAACATCAATTTAATTGAATTTAAACCATCTTATGTTTCGCCAGGTAAGTACTTTATTCCGGTCTTTAATGATAATTAAGTTCTCAAAATGAAGTTAGAAACTACGGGTTTTAAAACTTACACGGTTGATTTGATCGAATTTTGGTATGAGTGTTTGTTGACGCCAGATAGAGTGCAGTGAATCGCTATTATGCTATCAGCATAAACAGCATTACCGTTGTCACCTCATACCCGTTTTTCCGAAACATTCCCAAAATGTTGGCTACATTCCATTGTTTAATATATGTTGTTCTGATGGAGAAATTTAAAGAAAACTCCCTTTATTTTTCATAGTGACGTTTGGGATGATAAAAGGTATTGTCCTTGTAGGAAAACACGATTGTTTGATTCGCCGAGATTCGCCTGAGATCAGGATCGGGCTTCCTCATCACGTGATCAATACTTTATCATTATGCNGGGGGGGGGGTTAATTGTTGTTGCTTCATTAAATTCAAAACTCGTTTATGGTGGCTCTTGCCGATTGTTACGTTAGGCTCCGAATAAGATAAATATGATCGGGAAAAATTCGAACGCGTGATGACGGCATTATGTTTTAATGCCTCGTCATGTGACTTATATCACCCAAGTAACACGCTGTTATAAATATGAGTTATAATAATATGCAATGTATTTAGCGACTAGTCAACCAAGATGGCCGCCACGATCCAAGATCGTCACTACCTGCTTATTGATGGATGTTTATATTTTGTGATGTCGCTATATTTGTTGTTTAATGAGACTGCAAATGAGTGACTGTCATCCGTTTTCTGTTTGGATAAACCTAACGCCATATACTGGCTTCTGATCGGCCAATATTTTGATATCGGCAGAATTCGATCGAATTTGGCACGTAGTTGTTTTATTGTACCACGAACACAACTTCAGACTCTTTTCGTGATTGGACAAAATGACTGCAATACACTGGCTGTGAGTAGTAAGTTTTTTTTTAAATGCTGTCCGGTTTCACTCCAATTTGGTATGTAGGAGCTTAATGGAATTGCAATCTGTTTCTGATGCATCTTTGCGACTGAGGACAGATCGGGGTATTTCTATGATGGTCCCTATCGTAATTAGAACTTGTTAACCAATGTGCTTTAACAGGATTATGACGTACTTGTCCCGGTTTCTGTAATAATATAATATCAAGTTACGAAAACCCGTTCTAAGGATAACCAACCCTTTCAAGCGTAAATGTGCACAAGGAAAAACCAATGACGATAAGTTGATTTTAAAATATCTTTTCCTACATATTTGTAAGGTTCATGATATTCCTCCGCTCAAATCTTCTATTAATTTTTGTTTACTTTGTCGCAATCACGCAGTTAATCACACAGTTACTTCAACGTTTGTCGTTCGAACAATTTTCGTGCAAAGACACGGTAGTCTAATGGTAGGACGCCGGGCTCGTGACCGAAGGGTTGCGGGTTCGAGTCATGGCACGGCACTGTGTTGTATCTGTGAGCAAGATACTTGACTCCGTTTGTTCCAGTTTACTCGGCTGTAAATGAGTACGTGATTGGGCCGAGCTATAATTGTTATATGCTAGCTGTTAGCGCCGAAATGGCAGTTCCGGCTTCATTCTCCCCAGGGAGTTGAGAAAGGTATTGGCTGGTTGCAAAGGCCTTAGAACCACGGATGATAATTTGTGAACCGCTTTGAGACGACCTACGAACTAGGTTGTGATAAAGTGGTATATAAGAACCTCGAATTATTATTATCATTATTATTACAAGCTAACCGGTAATAAGATTTATATATATATTTTAAATCCCGCCGTGACTATTCTTCATAATTATGTTTATTGAAGATTGAAGAAACTGTGGTTAGGTATACATGTAGCAAACACTAGTGAAAGCAAGTGATTTTTTTTTTTATAAAAGCACTGGATAAAGTCTTGAGTGTAATCAGCCCAACAGAAATCAAAATATAAGTAGTGGATTTTATAAACTGATTTTCTATTCATATAGTAACAGTGATAGATATCTAGCCCCCGGGCCTGGAAAGTTATCCCAAGCAGGCACTTTCTTTGAGGAAGCACTTTATAAAGTCAAGAGTGTAATCAGCCCAAGAGAAATCAAGACATTGTGCATTACATATGTAGTACATTAAACAGATTTTCTATTTATAGTGACCCATTGACCTTTGACCACTAGACCTGAAAAGTTATCCCAATCAGGCACTTTCTTCCAGGAATGGACTCGATAAAATCTGAGTGTAATCAGTCCAACAGAATTCGAAATACAGTGCAAAAACTGATGTTCTATTTATAGTAAGTGACCTTGCCTTTGATATCAAAGGCTGAAAAGCTATCCAAAAGCTTAAGCAAACATTTTATTACACTGGATAAAGTCCATAATGTATGCACACACACAAGGTTCTACACTTAAAGTTGATAAGTTGACTTTGATATTCATATGTTTTTTTCTGTATGTTATTACCATCTCCATAACATATTGGATGAAGTTGCTAAGTGTTTAAATTGAATCAGTTGATGATTTTCTATATAAAGCAACAGTGACCTTGGAACCCTGAAACACAACAATGTCCGAAGAATACTCATACTTGACCTTTGCATAAAGTTTGACCAAAATCCATGAAAGAATGAAGTTGCTAAGTGTTTAAAATGAATCAGTTGATGCTTTTCTATATATAGCAACAGTGACCTTGGCCTTGACCTTAGAACCCTGAAACACAAGGATAACAGAGGTATACACATATTTGACCTTTGTATAAAGTTTGACCAAAATCCGTGAAAGAATGAAGTTGCTAAGTGTTTAAATTGAATCAGTTGATGATTTTCTATATTTAGCAACAGTAACCTTGGCCTTGACCTTGGAACCCTGCAACACAACAATGTCTAAAGTATACTCATACTTGACCTTTGCATAAAGTTTGACCAAAATCCATGAAGGAATGAAGTTGCTAAGTGTTTACATTGAATCGGGACGGGACGGACATGGGCAACACTATATGCCCCCTCCCCCCCCAATTTATGGAGGGTTGTACCTTATAAAATTAATAAAGTTTGACTAAAAGCTGTCAAAGAATGAAGGTGCTAAGTGTTTAGATTGAATCGGGATGGGCGGGACGGGAGTTTACATTGAATCGGGATGGGACGGACATGGGCAACACTATATGCCCCCCCCCCTTTTTATGGCGTCGACATAAAAATAACTGAAGCGGTTTCTACGACGGACAAAAGGCATTCACAAGAGGTCAACACCAAGACTTTGAAAACTAAAAAATATCCATTTTCTAGCTTAAGTTCACAAATCATAAATGTAATACTCACTGCCTACCAAGATGTTCGAATGTCCTGTTGTTGTATGCAGTAAAGAACAAATTAACAAGTATATATATATTCATATGAAATGTACCAAGTAATGGGAAATGAGTTGTATATAAATAGTAGTTTATGTTTATATATGTTTGCAGTATTTACATAATTTCAAGTTGTACTATTATTTCCACCAGGATTTGAACCTGGGTCTCCCACCACAGAGTGGCGAGTGTGATGACCACTACACTATAGAAATATATATAACACAACTAACCTTTTCTTTCAAGATTTATTTCCATTTTTAAAATGTTTTAACCTTTGCATTTATATCTACATTCTTCCGCTACTTTTCTCATCACATTGGAAATTAATATACTGGTATTAACCAAGTTTATACCAGGCTCAAAACTACAATTTGCAATGTGTAAAAATTAATTATGTTTTTTTTTTATTCCAAGATATACACCAGTAAAATGAAAAGATCCTTAATTTTCCATTACTATTAATTATGATTCTGCAATATAATTGTTAAAAATAAGATTGCACACATATACTGGTACATTCAGGTTATTCATGACAAGTTATCGCAGTTAATCTCCCCAGATGAATCTCTACATTTACTTGTAGTTGACAGGGGAAACCCCTTAAATTCCCATAATTATAAGAACCTTCATACAATATGTTTCAATTTTAGATATCTCATATACCAGTATTTAGTTATCAAAATGGTAAACCTTATAAAAAATGAGGGTATAGGTTTTAGGATGTGTAAACACCGGATAAAAAGTGTTGTTATTTATTGGTGTGTATAGGTTTATTATTAACCGAAAGTACTAGTATCCTGATACTGAGCCCCTGTGTGTTATCGATATGACTATGATACACCTATGTACCAAACTTCAGCTAGATATTTGAAAATTGACCGAGTTATGATAAATTGAACTTTTGTCGACTGGTGGCGTGGTACACGTGTGTAAAGAAATCTACAGATCGTGAAGCATCTTCAAACTGTTTCTCTAAAATTAATCTAAAATGTAATCGACATCAGAAGATATGTTATTCATATTCATGACTATAACAAACTTTATTGGATGCACAAAACCAATTCATCAAATAGTTAAAAGCTTTTAAGGGTGCGTCAGTTATGAAATTATTTGGATTTGCTCAAAATAATATTAATTATTTTAGCTTCTGAAAACAAATTAACGTGTTCACAGCTGCAAGGCTTTTAAATTACCTCCAATACAATACAGTCAAAACCTGCCATACTACATATTATATAATTTTGTAAATTATACACTTAATTTTCACACCTGTATATATCTCGATACATAAGGCTATGAATGCAAATAACATATTAAAGTTGTGCTCGTCATGAGGTTGTTTACAAACTAACAACTCAATTATGTAAACACCTCACAAACGTGATTTTCCTTTTAAATATTTATCTTGACTGGAATTGATCTCTGAGGAAGTGTTGCATCAATAGTCTTAATGTAGGTGTTTGTGACCAGGTATATCAATGATCTATGGTAAGTGTTTGTAACCAGGTATCTCAGTGGTCTATAGTGAGAGTTTGTAACTAGGGATCTCGATCAGTGGTTTATAGTAATTTTTTGTGTAAAGGTATCTCAGTGAACTATATTTTTTGTGATCAGGTATCTCAGGTGTCCATAGGTAGTGCGTCTGTTACTGTTCGTGACTAGGACGGTACATGTAACTTTC